AGTCCAGAGGCTTGGTCATCATATCACTTGCCCACTTCTTTCGTCTGACTATGTTGGCAGGTCTTACTAAGTGCTTCCGTCTAGCTGCTCTGCAACGATAACCATAACGATTCTGTGGAGAATCCGTTGAACAGATTTCGGGCTAATCCCACTAAATTTGGCCACTTCTGCAGTCGATAATCTGGGATCCATTTTGATGCTCCTCTTGACAGCCCTTTTTGTCCTCTCCGATGGACCAGGACGACCCGGACGCTGCTCAGTTGTTTCCTTGCCGTGTTTCCTGAACTGCACGATGATTCTGTTGACTGTCGAAAGTGGGATTCCCAAATTCTGCAAAATTTGCCGCTGACTTATTCCACCATCTGCTTGACCAACTATCCTTCCTCTAACAAAATCTGACAATTCGAGAGAACCTTGAGTTCTAGGCATTTTGTAGCATAAGATAATTAGTGTGCGAACCATTTTCATTTATATAGTGCTCTGTGAACACAAATTAGTTAGCATAAATCAGTTAAATGATGAAAAATTAGGTGTCTATTTACTTGTTACCACTCAGCGTATAATAATACAGTACAAAATAATTAGCTGATCAGTAAAAAATGTATGGTATGCAAGTCATTGAAAACTGTTTAAATGTTATGGAAAAGTCTTGGAATTGGTTTTGTTCTAAAAACATGTAGTAACCCTGTTACAGGATTTCACATATATATGATTTGATTATTATGTAAGTGTTTTTGAAAAAATCACCAATTTTGTGTTTATCTTATCATACATTTTAAGCTATTTTTCTACTATATTAGCAGGGATAGGGATGAAACAGCTACATGTATGTAGTACCATAAAATAGTAATTCCACCATTGTTGACCAGTTTCTAGTACAGGTACTTTAATGCACCACTTGTAATTTCAAATTCTGTGGTGTTTAGATATAGTTTGTATTGTCATACCACTGTTCTATATCATCTATACCTTTGTTACATGTACACATACTTTGTATAGTAAAAGAGAATTTTAGCTGGCTAATTCAATCATGATAGTAATTCAGTATATGAAAGTACACTAGGTTTATTTAATAAAAATGCATAACAGTAGATCATCAAGAGCTACTTAAATCATATTATTAGAGACTTACAAGATATACGAAATAAATAAGAATGACAAAAACGTATGTAAATTGGAATCACAGATGTTGTAGATTTTTCTCAATTGAATAGTATTTTGTATTTTTCTGTAACGTTTGATGATTGATTGTTTAATAAATTAGGTATATTACTTAGAAATGTTTGTAAAGCAAAAAAATGGACACATAACAATAGTAACAACTTTTGTTTTGATTTTAACATGAATAGGTCCAATATTTGGTTAAATGATGTGTGGTTATACTTGCAGAATTAAACTTTCCAGATTGACTGTCCAGTAAAATAATAAAAAAAAACAATTGTGTTAACTAATTACAACAGGATTAAGAATAGGATTTCAACACAATAAAAATAACAAAATTGTAAGTACTATTTTCCAAGTTATGAAAATTTCAACTTACATTTACTTAGTTAGTTCTTCATGGCTGTTAAATTTCTTGATTTCCATTATAGAGAAGTATCATCTGTACCTGAAGCAGAACATGCAGTCATTAAGCCAAAATCTTGTGTGATGTCCACTCCGGTAGCTGATAATTCAGATGTTTGTAAACCTCCATCATATTCTCCTACAGCTGCACCATCTGCAAGTACAAGTTCTAAAAATCATCAGAGGGATAAAAATGTGAAGAAAGATTCACCTCCTGAGAAGCCTACTCTTTGTAGCTCTTACCCTTCTTGTAGCAAAGATGGAATATATGAACTTAAAATATTAATACAGCCAGAGCAACAGCATCGGGCTCGTTATCTCACAGAAGGGAGCCGTGGGGCAGTGAAAGACAGAAAAGGAACAGGATACCCTGCTGTGAAAGTAAGAAGAATCCAAGGAAAAATTTATAAATAGTAGATCAGATTTTATCTTACTAACCTATCCCCCCCATATCTCAGTGGTAAGTTTGTGGACTTATATTCCTAAAAAAATGGGTTTTGATACCCATTGTGGATATAGAAGAGATAGCCCATTTGTATAACTTTGTGCTTTACTACAAAGACATTTGTCCCCCAGTGGGACAGCAGTAAGTTTATGAATTTCCAATGCTAAAATCCAATGCTCAGTTCTCCACTGTGGACTGAGCAGATAGCCCAATATGGCTTTGCACTAAATAAACAAACAAATTCTCCTGCTGGCTCTATTTAGCATCCAGTGGAACAGCAGTAAGTCTGTGACTTACAACCAATTTTTCCTCTAATTTTTTCAGTCCATGTGCGGAATGAATTTTTTCATGTCCATCAGTATCAAGGTAACGTATGTTACCAGTTTTTTTTTTTAAGGGAGAGGAGAGTATTTTTAGACCATTGACCCTATTGGATCATTAGACTGCTTTGCAATGCTACCAGTTGTTTATTTGGGCTTTAGGCCTATTGACTGCTAGGGTCATTAAGGCCATCAATGTGTTGAGACTCCTCACCATTACTGAGGATGTGTGCAGCTGGAATAGTTAAGAGTGTGGCACTTGATTGGTTGTTGTGCAGTCATGCAGCTTAGAGGGAACATTGCTTATAACATTAGAATCTGGGTTTTAATACCTGTGGTGGGCAGATAACAGATAGCCCATTTTCTAGCTTTGTGCTTACCTTCAAACAAATTGCTCAGTTTAGAATAATGTCTTTAGACAGAACTGTGTGGTAGTTGCTGGTAAAACTAGAACTAACCTATATGTACTAACTATTACAGGAACAAGAATATTTAAGAGACTTGTTTTGTGAAGAATAAAATTAATATAGACAGCAAAGGAAAGACTAAAACACTAGAGTAAGATAAGAAATAATCTATTTATAAATACAAGATTCTGATGTTTTACTTCAGTATTAGCTATCTTCAGTCACTGTTGGAACAAAGGAAAAATGTTTTCTCAAGACCAGAAACCACAGAAAAAGATTGTGTTTATCCTGCACTTTCAAGTCAGACCATAGTCTGAGTGTAGTATCCTACAATTCTAGACTGCCTATATACGTGATAATACATGCACACATTCATTCACACACGCACACAGGTATGACCCACATCTTGGGGAAGGACTTTTATAGTTAGAGAGAATAAAATTGGCACTTTACAACCGCCACAAATGTATTCAGATTATTATTTTAGTTTTCAATTTAGGAGTGAAACATTTGGGTTTTTAGTCAAAAGTTCTTTAGGGTGGGTGGATTTTGCAAGAAATAAGTGATATATTAATTTTTCAAATAAAATAGTCATGCAAAAACATAAAATAATATTCAATTTAATTGTTTCTATTTTGGATGAGTGTCATTGATGTCTCTTGCATTTTTCTTCTCATAGTGAAAATACTTGGGCAAATTTCTTGAAACTTAGGATAAACTTATTAAATAGTATCTAATTTGGGCTTTAAAAAGTTTAACCCTATAGATACATGACTGACTGTTTTACATCTTACGATGTCTCACAGAATTACAATCAAAATTTAATTAAACAACTTAATTTTTGTTGACATTAATTGATAAACATCGAAGTGTAGTTTCTAATTTGTAAGTTAATATTATACATTTTAATTTGTTAATTTAAAGAAAATATATAAAAACTCTCAATTTCTATTTCTGCATGTCATGTGATTTGTCTGCATCCTGAATTCTTTCTTTAGTTGTATAACATCAATATTATATCAACTACACTGTTTGACTAACCTAGACACAATCTACAGACAGTTCCACAGGTATTTCTGTATCTTACCAAATGAGTTTTTGACATACACATTTTAAGTAATAAGTATTACTACATTCATTTCACTTTTGGCTGATCAGAGAGCCACTAGCATGGAATTCTACTAGATCCAAATGAGACAAAAAAGAAATTGTTTATACCAATAGCAAGCCTCACCTTCCTGATGAGTAACTGAGGTGTCAACCACACTGATCATGACCAATTGCATGACTGTTTTTACATTTCCTTCTGAAAATAATCAGCAAACAGTGATGACACAATCCTCTTTCATCAACTAAATATAATTGTTCAATTTAAATTCAATTTTTCAATTTGAAAATATGGTGTACCTAAAACTTTCCACTATCTCCCCTGTATTTTGAGAAAAATGAACAGGGGTCCATTAAACTGTAGAATCTTGAAACAACACTGCTCAAATATATCACATTTTTCATTTATAAAGTAGACTCATATTTCTTGAATCTTACAAATTCAGAATTTCTAGGAATTGCATTAATACCTGATAACTAACATTATATATCCATAAGGATTAGTAACTGCTGACTAACTAACTAAAGTGATGTTTTCAGATACTTTTTAAGAGAAATGCAGCAGTTATCAGTACACAAGGTACAATTTCTTTTATATCATGATAAGTCAGTTATTAATACTAACTTCTGGTCAGAGCAAGCTGTGTACTTACAGCTGAACTAAAAATCAACTTGGCTATCAGTATAGTAGATTAGATGTATTTGTCTTACATTTCTATATATGAAGATTATAATGCATTGTTTTACTGATGGGTATTTTTGTATTTCTTATTACATAAATTGTGCAAATGCAGTAGACTTTAATTTATAATTAATTATAACACTGCTGCCAAATAACTTAAATAGAAGGTGTGTATTTTAAATATTTATTTTTTAACTTTTCAAGTGCGATAACAATTTTAAGTGAAAAAATATGGCACACAGAATTTAATGCTCTGCTGTTTAGAATGTAACAGTCAATTTAGTAAAGCTTATCTCATACATATATTGATAGTTGAAGAACTTGGCCTTTGACAAATACATGATATTTTGGTAGTTTGTTTTCTTTAATTTCTTTGTTTAATTGAAATGTTAGTTTTGAAATCACTTTCCCATTAGAAATTCCAATATTGTATGTATTGTATAGTCCGTAAAAAAACAAAAAAAACTTTTAGTAAAACAATCTCTCTCATAGATGTTAGGTATTAATCTGGCTGATTAGTGGTATGATTAATTGATTAGTACATTGTTGGTCCAACCATAGTGCAAGAACAAAAAAGTTGGCAGTGGATCTGCAACTACTTATTTTCTCTCCAGTCAGCAGTTCAGGAAGAGAAAAACACAATACAAAAAACAACAACAACATTGGTAGCTGGTGCTACTAGATGGTTATATTCTTTATTTTTAGCTGTTCAAAATTAATGGTTATGGCAGCCTTGGTAACTTTGTAATAACAAAGACAGGGTGTGCAAGTTTGGTGGCAATGGGAATCAAATCTTGAGCCTAATACCAACCATCCCCACTTGAATGAACAAAGCTAAGGAAACTTTAAATTTTAAAATAAAAAAAATTGTAAGGTTAAAATTAGGCAGAGCACAGATAGTCCATCATCTGTTTTTGTATTTTAACAAGTGTTTTGATTAATCAGTTACTTTACTGACACTAATTGATCTAATCACTGCTAACAAGTAAAGATTTAGATGATAAGACCTAAAAAGTTTTCTTTCAAAAGTATACACCTTATTAAGTGATAAATAACTTAATCATTAGTGTGACTTTCATGTTCAATATTTATTAAAAAACCTTTCATGGATTTGTATATATTGTAATAAAGTAGATATACAAAGACATTAATCATCAAAGGCAGTCAGTTGCAGGAAACTATAAAAATGGATAACTGAAACAGTAGGACCCAAAAAGCTTTGAAGATGTCCTGTTTCAACATTATCAACCAAACACATCTAACGAACTGATCGACTTGTAACATAAATTAAGAAGGGGTTGAGAGTGGCATTTTCAATCCAAATGAAACTTATTATGTACATGGCCTAAACATCCAGATCAGAAACCCTTAGGATTTAGGTATAACTATCCCTAATGTTGAACTTCTGACCAGAGGGAAGGCAGCACGACAGTAGCACTTACTGTCATAAGGGATTTAGCCAGCTCTTGGAATCAAATAATAGAATTGATTCTTACATTCTATAATGGCTGAAAGTTCAGAATTTGTCCAATTGCAAGATACCTTGAACCCTGCAGCTAAACATTATGCCACACGTGGCTGAAGGGGTTGAAACACAGGTGTTGAAACCCACAACACCCTTAATCACCCTACCATGCACTGTCTGTGACTAATTGTTATGGTACCAATTAAATTAGCAGAAATATGAGTAAACAGTAGTGTTTGGGTGGTTAATCTTGCAATATCCCAAGCTAACCTACCATTCACCATTCATGGCTGTTTATGGGTTTGGTATTAACTGTACAATACCAATAACAAAGTTTTTATGGGCAGATAAGATTGTAAGATCTATAATCTAAATTGGACAGTAGACACATCCATGACTTTAAATCAAAGTTAAAAGTATGTTTTGAAAAAATGTGTGCATATATATATATATATATATATATCTGTGTGTGTGTGTATGTGCACGTGTATATATATATATATATATATACACGTGTGTGCATGCATGCATGTGTGTGTATGTGTATTTGTGTGTGAGCTTACAACAAATACAAGATAATACATAAATAAAATTATGTGAATTACAACTAAATCTAGAGTTTAGAAAAAAATATTTTCTCCCAAGTTGTCCTGTAATATATTTAATGTATGTAATATAACCTTTCCCACAAATATAACAAAATACCTTCGTAAGATTTCTTCACTTTATTTCTCTGATTGAAGATAGCATAGTCTTTGTGAAAATATGATTTATTTTCAAACTTAGCTTTCAGAGTTTTATCTGAAATTTTTTGTAGTTTTTTTATATCATTAATATTAATTTTAACTTCACAGTAATGTGTTATAAAAAGAAATAACTTTATATTATTATTATTATTAGTTTCCTTTTTAATCTTAGCTAGTTTAAATCCTCTCTTGATTAGGAGGTGAGATTTTAATTCTATCAGTCTGTGTTGTTAAACATCCAGGTTAGAAACAATAGAAAAAATTATTTGAGCTAGGCAAAGTGGAATATTTAATTTAGTATATATAGGATGGTTCATATAAAAACATAAATACTGGTGTGAATTAATAAGTTTATAATATAAATCCATTTCAATCTTGCCATCTTCTTTTTTATAATCTATATATCTAAACAGGATAAACCTAAATTACTCATTTCAAAAGTAAACTTTATGTTAGGGTTAATTTGATTAAAATTTTCAAAAAATATTCCAAAATCAAAGGATCTGTTCCATAATAGAAAACAATCATCTAGAAACTTTTTCCAATTTTGTTTCAAGTGATTAATATAATTACTTTCAAAATAACTTAATAAACTATTGAACATTTGAATTTCAAAATATCCCATTGCTAAAGTGGCATAAGTTGGAGCTACTTTTGTTCCCATTGATATTCAGAGATTTGTTGATGTATATTGCTTTTATAAACAAAATAGCAGTTACTTAAAATAAGGTTTAAACCTTTATCGATCACTTCTTTTTCAAAGTATTTATCTAAGTAATTCTCAATAGCTTTTATACCATATTCATATTTGATACTTGGATAAAGCGAAACAATATCTAATGATATTAAAATATTATTTTTTTCAATTTTCTTTGGTAAATGATTAATAAAATCAATATCATCTCTTATATAACTTTGTACTTTATATGTAAATAATTTTAAAATTATTTCCATAATGGAGCTCAGTGGCACAATCACCTTGTTTTTTCTACCTATTATTGGTCTTCCAGAAATATTATCTCCTAAAATTTCTCTTAATTTCTTCACTTTTATGAATTTTGGGTAATGTATAAAATGATCCCAGTTTATTATTACTCATCAAATAACAATTTTCTTTCTTAGTATATACATATTTAAATTCTGTTACTTTAATTACATATTTCGAATATCTATGGAGGTTGTATCTTTTTAAGTTTCTTTATTTTTTAAATATTCTAAAACCATATTATCATAATACTCTTTATCTCTCTTATCTTTATCACTTTTTTGAATGAAAACCATCATTCATATTTTAAATTTTTTTGTAATGCATTTCCTTCTTTTCTTAAGATATTCTCTTTAACTGGAAGACTTTTACAACACTCATTTTCTATATGACTACAAGTTATATCAAGTTCTAGATTTCTTCCTTTTGAAGGTATAAAATTACTTTTTGTTTGTTTCAAGGATTCATCATTATTCTTAAAAAATTCTGTTAATCTTAATTTCCTAATAAATTTGTGTATAGCTTCTTTAATTTAAAATTCATTTGTTTTATTATTTAGGGTAAAGGTAAGTCCTCTCATTAAAAGTTCAATTTAATTTCCTGACAAAGATTTTGAACTCAAATTCAATACTTTCAAGGCCTCTGTGGGTAAAATAGATGTTTTTTCTTTCTGTATCTTCTCTTTGATTATTATATATATATATTTCCTTTTATTCATTAAGTTCTCATTGTTTGTCTTTTTCTTCTGTATCTATTCTTGTATTAACTTTCCATCTTCTTAAATTTTTATTGATTTTATTTCTTTTCTTTTTCTTTCTTCTCCAAAATCCTTTGATTTTTCTGCATGTTTGAAATTATGCACTCTTCCTCTTTATGGATCTTGCCTATCTGAATCTAATTGTTAACAAAACCAAACTTCTTTTTTCTCCCAAATCTCCTTTTTTTTCTTCTTCAGTACAAAGATTCCTACAGTACTTTATTAGAAATTCATATAGATGGTCATTTTTTGTTAACTGTCTTAAAAATTCTGTCACTGAAGAATCCATTTTTATATATTTAACTAACTGGTCCTCTGCTCTTAATTGTAGAGCTTCTATTTCAATTCTGGTAGTTTCTACTTCTAGACATTAGCAAATATTCTGCTTATCCTTCAACAGTGAAGAATTGATATAATGTCTAAATTTATGTGGTGTGAGAAGTGGTTCTTCTTGAAACCCTCAATTAAAAGTCTGGTTAATATCTCTTCTCTCAGCTTTCTCTAATACATTAGTTTTCTGTGATGTAAATTTTCTTTTAGGTATTTTCTATTTTCATAAAAGATATCTTCAACATTCTTTCATATACATAAGCATTATTTTTCATAGTTTTTATTATGTTGACTAGCATTTCCTGTTGTAATTTACAATATTCTTGGAAACACGACATATTTTCTTCTTGGTCTTTAGTTAGTTTCTATAGAATTCTTTATTTCCAACAGGAAATTAGTTAGCAGTTCTTTCAATTTTGTTTGGTAATCTTCCATTCTATCCTTTGATCCATTATTGCAAGAAGTCCATTTTCTGGTATCAAGTGCCATTTTTTTCTCTGTCTTGAAGATCTTTGAGTGTGATTTTATTTTACTTTTAAAAAATTCACAATTCACTCTTTTTGCATAAAATTGTATACAAGGAAACAAATATATTTTGCTGAAGGAAGTGATTAATAAATATGAAATAATATAAAAATGGCTTTAAAAGAAATAAAATCACACACATAAAAGCATAATATACCAGTTTCATATCATCCAGGATACTCATCAGTTTCTCCAATAAAGCTTTCTAATCTAACTTTTGAATATATGTATAAAAAATTTACTACTTCACAAGTCTTTTAGATAGTAGAAAAAACACTGAAATTAAAAAGTTTGTAAATCACCTTAAAAAATAACAAAAATATTATAGCACTGTCAACAGGTTGACCTGTTGAAAGTGTTTTAGCTTCCAAAAATAATATGTTAAATATTGCATTTCAGTTATAGTGAAATTTAAAATATGTTATACATTTTAACAGACTATATAATGACACAGATAATTTTTTGTATTTTAAGCTGTTTGGGTACAACAATCCTGTAACAGTGCAAGTCTTTATTGGAACAGACCAAGGGAAGGCACTTCCTCACCTTTTCTATCAGGCCAGCAAAGTGTTTGGTAAAAGTTCTACTCCTTGTTCTGAAAGAAAGATTGAAGGCACAAGTGTTTTGGAGATTGAGATGAGTCCAGATAAAGATATGACTGTTAGGTTAGTTAATACTTTGTTTATTGAATAATTGCTGTTGGCAACCTTCTTTTTTTCAGTCCAGTTAATAATGGACTAAGTGATAGGAAGTTTGGATACAATGGAACAAATAAAAAAGTTTATAAAGTTGCAGTAGGCAATCTGAAGCATGTGATCATACTTGCAGATTAAAGGAACTGATTATGTTATTAATCATTAGGTCTTCTGAGAATGTTTACACTTGTTCTTCTAACATCAGTAGTTCATGAGCCAGATTTCAGTACAACAAGACAAAGATTAAAACTAAGAAAATTAATAATGTATTAGCAAAAATAAATAATTTTAATATTCAACAATGCATTAATTGTTAAATTTTTCTTCCAAAAGATTCTGATATAAGGAATCTTCATCTAATATTGATCAAGTAGTGTTTGCAGTTGAAACTACTATCTTCTTGAACACAATTTTATATAATAACTTGTTAATTTTGTGTTCTAAGAATTGATTTGAAATCAAAATTATTAGTAATTACATTTCTTTCTAAATTTATTAAACAGAGTTAACTCTTAAATTAGGCTATTCTCTCCTTTCATCTTGGTCTGTTATATTATTATTATAAACTTCTTTTGCAGCTGTGATTGTGTTGGGATTCTTAAAGAAAGGAATGTGGATGTTGAACACCGCTTAGCTCTACTTGGTGGAAGCCATCGCAGTAAAAAGAGAAGTACACGCTGTCGTATTGTGTTTCGGGTTAGAATTCCCCAAAGTAATGGAGCATATGAAATACTTCAAGTGGCATCAGCTCCTATATTGTGCAGTAAGAACTTTTTTCTTTCTGTTTAATTTTATCAAAAGTAAATAACTTTTTTTATGAATTATATATTTAAGTTTAATATTAAAAAAATGCTGTAAAGATAACTTTATGTAGGGATATTGAGATGATGTGTGGTTTCCATATTCATTACAAGATATTAAAGCAAAAATATTTAGTAAATAGATAAACAACTGAATATATTAATAAAATTTAAATGGTTTATTTACAGCTCAGCCACCTGGTGTTCCTGAAGTATCCAAAAAGTCTTTGTCCGAATGTCCTACTGATGGAAAAATGGAGCTTTTTATCATTGGAAAGAATTTTCTTAAAGACACACAAGTTCTGTTTCGTGAAGTTGAAGGTACAGAGAAAATTTTTTTTTAAATAGTCATCATATACCAGAGTTTTTAAATCATTTGAAATGTGTAAATTTGGGGTTTAGTTTAAGAAATTTGGCTGTCATAATAGTTACTGAAAAAACTAAAAATCGTTTGGTTTGTTTAATACCTTTGTTCACGAGACATTATCGTAAATACATGTAAATCTCTGTTCAGTATTTATAAATGTACTGCTAACTAGGCTTGAAAGTTGCATAAGTGGTGTTGGGTAATTATGTAATGTCAGTTTGTAAAGCACTGTTTCTCAGTTAACATGTATTTTAAAAACAATAAAGATTAAGCAAAATGACAAGGTATTAATGGAATAATATTTTTTGTATTATGCAGGTGATCTTATCTGGTGTCTAGCTAGTTGTACTGTCCACTGTTAGCATTTTTCATGGTATCAGCCCATTTGAAATTTGTATCAGACTGGGTGCTAACCAAAAAAGTGTTTAACATTATACCTTTAGTCCTAGTTTCCTGACTGTCAGCTTTTGAAAGGTTTTGAAATATTCTTAATTGTTTTTTGTTGATCAGTTTAGAAACCCTAAATTTACTATTTTGTCAAGTCGGTATTTATATATGTATTAACACTCGCCATGGGCAGATCAAAGTATGCATGTTGTAATTTATAAAAAATTATGTTCAAAATTTAAACAACTTTTTTAGCAAAATCATAAATAATATTCAACGTTAAACTGGTACACAATTAAAAACATTTCATTTAGGCCTGTCTATGGCCTTGAAAAAGGATGACATTGTAACGTCGAAACATGTAGTGTCGTCAACTTTTTGAAGGCCATAAATAGGCCTGAATAAAATGTTTGTAATTGTGTACCAGTTTAACGTTGAATATTATTTATGATTTCAACTTTATACACAAGTGCCAAAATACTATAATTAAATAACTTTATTATTATTG